ATATATATATTGAAACTTTTGTAACAATTTCTTATAAAAATTACAGAAATTCAAATTATAAAAATATTTTAGTACAAGTCTTACATATCTATATGCCATATTATAAATAATACTTTTGATAATAATAATTTTCCGCTTTCTCTTTTTTTCTCTGATACATGTAGATATGCATAGTTGAAATAATTTGTAAACTAGTAATTAGTTTCTTGTTGGGTTGGTAAAAGATTTATCACTTATATGAAATTTATAATTAAATGACATTTAGAAATAATTTAAAGTAGATTCGAAAAATAATACTGAATGAAAAGTTGATAAATCAAATGCATGTTCATTTGTTTCAAATATTTTAAGATTTTTCACAAATACACATTAAATTTATTGTTCCATCTATGTTGGTTCCATCCTATATTGCTTTCTTATCTTTTATTAGGTATAACTTTGGAACGTTTTCTTTAATTGGAACTTATTTTGAAAAACATTGTCGAAAATAGGTTATGATTTTGCATCTGAGAATTTTATTCGGTTGCTTGTGAGACGCAAATTTTATAAGACTTTAATAAATAATATATTGAGCAATGTCTAATAACAAAGATGAAAAACAGTAAGTTATCTAAAATATCAGTAGCGAACTAAAGAAAGTAGAAAAATAAAAAAACCGCTAATCATTACAAAAAATTTCAGATATGGTTTGATTTTACCTAAAAAGCAACAACGCATTGCTCCAAAAGTCAATAATGTATTTGGTGATAATAATGATTCAGATGAGGAAGATGGTACAGATTGGGTTAAAAAAGCTCTTCAAGCAGAAGGAGAAAAAAATAAATTAAGGAAGCAAGTAAAATTAAATATGCAAAAGGCTTTAAAGGAAGACCCAACAATATTTCAATATGATGAAGTATATGATGACATGGAAAGAACAAAAGATCAGTCCAAAACTGCAAAAGAAATCGAGAAAAAGAAACCAAGGTATATTCAAAATCTTTTAAAAGCTGCTGAACGTAGAAAGAAGGAGGAGGAATATAGAATAGAAAGAATGGTTCAGAAAGAACGTGAAGCAGAAGGAACAATGTATGCAGACAAAGAAAGTTTTGTTACTTCTGCATATAGAGCAAAATTAGAAGAATTCAAAAAAATGGAGGAAGAGGAAAATAAAATGGATAGATTAGAAGCTATAGCAGATGTTAGAAAACAACAAGATATTTCAGGATTTTATAGACATTTGTATGAACAGACTATTCAGTCTTCAGAAAAATCTATTCAGTCTTCAGAAACTAAAAATAATACAAATGATCATAAAACTGATTTAGGTAATAATTCAGAAAATAAAGAAATAGATATCACAAACAAAGAACAGATTAAAAGTAAAGAGATAAAAAAGAATAGACAATATAGGCAAAGAAAAATAGAAGAAGATAGTGATACAGATAATGAAATTCATCAAAAAAGAAAAAACGAAACAAAAACTGTTGTATCTGAAAAGCATAAAGATGTTGAAAGCGAATCTGAAAAAATAGAACCTAATGCTAAAAAACAAAAGCATCTAACTGAAGATACTAAACATGAAAAAAGTCTTACTGAAAGCAAAATAGAAAATTCAAAAGATGTTGAAAAAATAAAAAGTAATAAAAACAATGACGAAACTGAAAAAACAAATATTAGTGTAAAAGAAAAAATAAAAGCAGAAAAGAGAGAGAGATCTAAAATTTGGGAAAAAAGAACAGTTGGAACTCTATTTGAAGCAGCATTACAAAGATATTATGCTAGGAAATCTATGAGGTTATCACTTGCATAATATAAAGTAATTGGAAAGTATTTGTATTATTGTATAAAAGAGGAAATTATGTGTGTGTGTGTGTGCGTGTGCGCACGCGCGTGCACTTAGGTATTAAACAATTTCGGCAAAAAAACACATTTACAATATAGAATATAAAAAGATATTTTTAATATATTATTTGTGATATAAAATTGTATAGAAATTGCATTAATTATACGGTATATTCCAGAAAAACGTCTGTCTCATCAATATTATAGAATGTAAATTTCTATATGCGGAAATAAATCATGGCACATTATAACTACAATGTAGCATTACATAATTCATAATTTTCAAACTATTTCAAATTTCATACATAATTTTTGATATTTAATAAATATTCCTTGAAATTTTTGATGATGAAATTATAATATTAATAACTAGAAATGAATAAATAAAAATATTTTCCTATTACTTATTGTAAATAATTTAAAAGATTTTATTGAAACAAAAAATTAAATTGTGTCATTTAGTTTTAATAAGATGAAATAAGCTGTGGTTTCATATGTCCGCTATCACCTAAATTTCTTAGTGTTACTCTTCCATTAGGACGAATAGATACCCATGTAATACTTCCATGATTTAAACTTAACCGTAACCAACCTTCAGGTGGAAACTGCAATGCTCTAAAACATATAATACAAATATATTAATTCTGTATATTAATATGTTCACTATCGAGCTTGTGATTTTTTTGCCCTAAATGTACGATCATGCAATATTTTTGGCCCAACAGCAAACATAATAATATTGCGAATATCATTTTTATATGATTAATCACCGGCAAACAAAATATCTAATAACGTTTGCATGGCAAACAAGAATAATATATGAATCTTTTTCTTGACTTGGTTCAGGACGATAAAAATATTTTCTAAATGCAGCTTCTATTCTAGGTCCATCTTCATAAACCTAAAATAATATAATATTATAATATATGATGGACAAAAAAGTAAAAATTTTCGTAATAATATAGCATACTTACAACTACTTCGGAATTCCAGATATTAATTGGTGGATCAGGTGCAATTGGCATACCTTCACTAAGAACAGAATCTTCTTTAACTGTTATATCTTTAAGATATTTTTCTATAATTTTAGCAGTTTCTTTAGCTCTGACTATTGTTGATTGTACAATCAAGGAATATGGCAATCCTAATTCCTGTAATCTTTTTCCTGTTGCTTCTGCCTGTTGTCTACCTTTATAACATGTATTTTTGCATAATAAATGAAAAATTTAGTACGTTTATGAAATGTAAAATATAATATGATAAAATATAAATAATAAGTGAAAGATACCAACCAAGAGTTGTAAGTGTTCGATCTGAGTCTGTTTTACCATTTGTATTATATTGCCCATGACGGATTAAAATTATATGATGTTTCACACCTGATTGTTTCTTAGTTGATCTTCTTTTACATGATTCTTTATCAGTTTCGTTATCCAATTTAGCTATATTTGCTAACCATTCTGGATGTCGTCTACAGATAAATACAATAAATTATAAACTGAATTTTTAAATAACAAACACAGCATATGAAATAGTTACTAATATTAAGTAAAATTTATAAATATTGAAATTATATTTGTTTTAACTATATATATATATATATATACAAAATATATTTAACATAAAAACTTTATTTGTTATATTTATTTAATTTAACACAAGAAAATCTAATGAAAAAGGATTTTAATTATATATAATTATTAAATCGTATTAAAAATCAATATTTTTATAAATAACTATACATTAAAAAAAACTAACCTATCCCAATTATGGTCCCACTTGCTCCAAGACGAAGGAGGTATTATCCAAGAATGTTGTTTTTGTGATGATTGAGTATGATCGTTATCATTTGGATAAAAAACCATTGCACCACCTATCGCACCAAATCCGACGATCCATTTTTTTAAATTTAAACGCACAGGCATTGTTATAATAAATTATCGCAACTAAATTTTTTTAAAGATTTAAACCGCTTTTTATACTGCTCATGTGTAGAACGTATTTTGCGTATTCGCTAACTACATATTATTTCTTTTTATGATAGTTAAAAACAAAGAATAAATATGTGTTACCAAGAAAAAAAAAAGTTAGATATCTTCTCTAAATTGAATGTTCCAAAATTGACGATAAGATCAACTAAAATTGAATCAAATGTAATATACTAGTATTCTAATTCTAGTATTCTATATTCTATTTACCGGTAAATTTAAAATACTTTCCTTGGAAATTGAAATCAATTATCTTTTTCTGTTAAAAAAAAAATTCAATTCTATTAAAAAGTTATTGAAAATCACATTAATTTAAAATCATATTTTAGTGTAAATTTAATAATTAAAACATAATTTAATTATTCTTACTTCACAGACATATATGCATATACATATACAACAAATATACTAAATATTTATAATCTTAGAATAAATGTTTTTTTCAAAATATCTTTAAAAATCTAATAAAATGAATCGAAAATCTAAAAATGATTAAATCTAACAAATGATGTTACATTTGATATTTACATATCGTAAATAAGCATATAAAAAAAGTATACATGCACAAAATAAATCATAATAAATATACATTTATATATTTACTTGCAAATAGCTTTGTTTCAAGAACATAAGAGACAAATCTTGTTTAGATAGAGGTGTCTAATAATAAGACATAATATAAATATATGTATGATTTTGTATCTGGCTTTGAATACATTGTCCTTGATTTTTAATAGTTTAGACTTGTCAATTATTAATGAATTACAAACTTTCACTGGTAAAATTAGTATTTAAAAGATACATGTTTGTAAAATTTATATACGAATGATATAAAAGATGACATAAACTTTATTAAATAAAATGATATGTCATATTTAATTCAATTATGAGAAAAGTTGTGGATTCATATGTCCTGAATCACCAAATGCCCATAATTTCACAATACCATCAGGATAAATAGTAATCCATGTAATACTGGCATGATTCAAACTTAATCGTAACCAACTTTCAGGTGGAAATTGCAATGCTCTGAAACAAATATTACCCTATTAAAGAAAACACTATTAAACGTTATTGAAAATGAAACATTTAATACGAGTCAGCGAGTAGTTTACCTGCATACAAAATATCTAATAACATTTGCATGGCAAACAAGAATTGTATAAGAATCCTTTTCTTGACTGAAATCTGCACGATGAAAATATTTTCTAAAAGCAGCTTCTATTCTAGGTCCATCTCTATAATACTAAAATACATCAATATTATTCAATATTATTTTAGATAAGTATAATTTCAAATTTTAAAAAAATACATATATAAAAACTTATATTCGTATATACAATAATATTCTTACATTTATTTCAGCTCTCCAATTAGATAATGGAGGCTCAGGTTGAATTGGCGAACCCTCATTAAGAAGTGAATCATTCTTTACTGCTATGTTTTTAAGAAAAGATTCTATAATTTTAGCAGTTTCTTGTGCCCTTGTCATTGTTGAATGTATAAGTGAAGTATATGGGAAACCTAATTCTTGCAATCGTTTTCCTGTTGCTTCAGCTTGTTGTCTACCTTTATAACATTTTACAATTTATGATTCCAATAGTACATTTTATTACATACATATATTGAAGATACTGACCAAGAATTGTAAGTGTTCCATCTGCATCTGTTTTAGCTTCTGTATTATATTGCCCATGACGAATTAAAATTATATGACGTATAGCTTTTGCTGTTTTATTTATCAATTGCATATTATATTTATTCCGATTAAATTCATCATCTATTTTCATTGGTTTTACTAAACTTTTTGGATCTCTTCTACAAATAAAATCATATAAGTTAAACAATAAAATTAAAGTAATAAATTAGAATGTAAGGATATATAACATCAAGAAATATTTATTAATGAATTAGCGATAAAATAATGTCAAAATCTAATGATTATTTATTTAAGAAAAAATTGATAAAAAAGTTTTTAATTTTAAAATCAACTATTTATTCAGGTAACATTAAATTTTTTTAATTTAATTATTTATTTACGATACATAATAAAGGAGAAATAAAATAGAATTATATGCTATTCTGTTATATAGAATTATATTATGAAGATAGTAAATTTTTATTAATAATAATAATAACAATAAATACAACCTATCCCAGTTGTAATTCCAAGATGTAGAAAATATCCTGGATTTATCCGTTTGTGTTAATTGGTTATTATTATCGTTTTCATGTGGATAAAAGACCATCGCACTACCTAATGCGCCAAATCCTACAATCCATTTCTTAAAACTTGAACGTATAGACATCGTTATAATAAATTAATAATCAAATTTTTTAAATCAACATTATTCAAAACCAAGTACACAATAAGTTAAAGCATGTTACGCTATTTTCATAAAGGTGGGATTTCATAAAAACCTTAAATGTAAACGCTATCTAGAATCTAGATAGTGACTGAGATTTCCTATGAAAATCAAATATTTGTTTAGTATATGAATAACTGACTGTGGAATAGTTCAGATCGATCTCCTTACTAATTAACTTCAAAAGCAATGCCATCGACCATATAATTTGTTCTGTTAAGGTTATGAATCAAATACTTGCAATTTAGAAGCAACATTATACTTTATGTTAACAATAAAAATTTCAATCTTTATTTCAATTTACATACAACATATTTTAAATATTACATCTAATTACAATTTCAATTACTTAACTATTTGTTATTACTAAAAATATATATTAAATAAAATTTCATTATTTCATTATTGCATGCTATTTTCAATTTTACTAAGTGTAATATAATTTTTATTGATAAGAATCCCTTATGAGATTACCATCTTTATCTTTAAAACGTATTCTTCCATTTGAATATCGTGTTTCTTGTGTACCATCGAGATAAATTAATTTAATAGTTCCATCAGGATATTCACGTCTCTAAATCATATATAAAAGTATTGAAATTTAATAAAAGTATTGAATACATATATCTTGTGAAACATTAAAATTAAAGTATGAAAATATTACCTTATGAGTATTAGTATGTATTTCACATTGTCCATTTGGTAAAGTAAGGATTTTTTCACCATTAGTAAGAATTTGAATTAATGTTCCATCTGGTAATGTCCATTTTTCAGTACCATCTAGCTCTAAGATTCGCACTGAACCATCTGGAAATGATACCTGTACTGTACCATTAAGTAATCTTCTTTCTACTTGACCACTAAATAATAAAAAAAATAATAATAAAACCCACCGAATAATAAATTTTTATACATTAAAATTTACAATCAAATAATTAAATGAAGTGATAAAAATAAACTTACTCAGCAAATTCTAAAATCTCTAAACCATCTGGCATTGTTGTGTGCCATGTATGTGTTGATGCATAAAAATACTTTATTTTTCCATCTTTATTAGTTTCACGAACATCTCCATTATAATACATTAATTTAGTTATACCTTGATCAGGAAATACTTTCTTAATATTTCCATTTGTAAATCGATATTCAATAGAGCCATCTGTGTGTTCAATCTGTACTATACTTTGTTTATCAGTATTAGTATTATTTCTGTAAGATGAAGATCTCTCCTCTATGTCTAGATTAAGTAGTTTATCTGCTGTTGATGATGTTAAATCTTTTTTATTATTTTCATCAAAACATTTGTAATCATTTTGCATATGTAATTGAATATCGTCCTTATTATGATTAAAAGATACATCACATTCTTCATGTAATCTTTTACATTTACTTTTCATAGCATTTGTTTGACCATCTACTTTTTTTAATGTATTATTTGGATCTGACCTTGATTCATTTAAATTTTCAAGAGCATTAAATTTTTCTGGAATTTCTGTTAAATCTAATGTTGCTTCTTTGATTAAATTTTCATATAGATTTCGTTTTTTAACAATATCTGATATACTTGTTTGACTTTTTTGTGGTTTATCATTCATAATATTTTTACCACCATTACAATTACGTTCTTTTTCTTTATCTATATTCTGATCATTAAGTATTGGTTTTATCAGTTTTTTATCATCATCTGATGAAGCATCATTAATTTTTTCAGGCTCTTTAAACTGCATTTTGATTCGTTTATTAATTTGATGAATTGCTCTTGTATTTGTAGAAGTTCCAGTTCTGCCTTTATTTCTCACATTTTTCTTTAAGTTTTGTAGTTCTTCTATTTCTTGTTTCAGTTTTGAATTTTCTATTCTTAATATTCTCATTTGACATCTTTGTCTCGATTGTGCTGCATTCCATCTACTTTCCTTAATATGCATTTCTTCCACCAATTTTTCTATTTCTTGCTTCAGATTCTGAATTTCTTGCCTTTCTAATTTACTTTGTTGAGCTTTTTCTTGTGAATCTCGTATTCTATTTTCTAATGCAAATTTTTCACGTGCTAGCTTTTTTCTTTCTTCTTGTAAACGGTCTTCTATTTGTTTTTTAGTTTCTTCAAAATTTTTTTCTTTTTCTGCGTATTCTTTACGTAAATTTTGATAATCTTCGCGTAATTTTTTACGCTGCATAGATAAAGCTGTATTTTCTTTGCGAAATATATTAATCTCTTGTTCAAGTTCCAATAAACGATTTTTTAGAAGCTCTGATTTAAAAATAGTTTCATCTGTTTCTTGTAAGTCTTTTATATTTTCTTGATCTTCAACTACATTATCATAATTATTTACATATTCATCTATTTTTTTGTTGTCACAAAATCCTGTATGTTTTTTTAATGTTTCTATATTGTAAAAGTCATCGATCTTTTGTGGTGTTAAATTACTTTGATCACATTTATGCAAATTACTTGTTTCATCATTAAAAGTTTGGTCCTCACTATCTGATAATTCATTTTTAGGGTAAACATATTGACAGATATCTGTGTTACAAGTAAAATCATTATTCTCTATCATATCTTCACAGGTTTGTGTCTTATGCATTTTACTTTCCACTACTACAGAAGATTGTGGTAAAACTTCAAAAAATACTGGTAATATTTCTGTGCTAGATGCTTCTACAGAAGAATCATTCCAAATCTTTTCATCTGAAAAATTTTTTGTTATTAATGACTCAGTTGATATACTTGATGTATCTGTTAATCCAATTGTTTTGTATTCATTAAATTCAGAAAATCTAACATGACGACTAACATCTTCTTTCTTATCATTTTCAATGATAGGAACATTAATTTTGTTAAAATAATTTTGTTCATTATGCATAGATTGAATTTGATCCCTTAATAGAATATATCTATTTCTATTTAATTTCATTTTATTGTCCTCACTAACATCTTGTAAAAATTCTCTCTTCTGATTTACAAAAGGTGAAAAATTATGAAATTCAGTATCCTCATTGAACTTCATATTTTTATGCATTTGATTAGACTTTACCAATTGTTGTTTAGGTATATTTTTTGGAGTAAATTGTTCTGCATTATACAAACTATTTTCTGTTTTATATTCAGCATTTCTTACTTTAAATGGTGTTGATTGTTGTAAGAATGCAGTAACTGCACTAGATGTAGAACAAAAGCTAGAATTCTCTGCTTTTTCTTCTAACAATTCAAATATTCGTACTTCTTCTAATTCTTTTTGAGTTCCAGAATGAAAATCTGAAGTATTTAATTCAACTGTATTTTTCATTTTATTGATATAATCTTTCAAATATGTAGTTGAAGTATTGGACTCAGATTTAGTACAAACTTTCTTCTTTGGTAATGAAACATTCTTTAAACATAATTGTTTTTGGGCTGCATTTGTATGATATGTTTTTTTCGATAACTGTGCACTCTTTGAGGGTTGAGTTTTATTACATTTATTTTCATTTGTAGAACATTTAGATCCAGATTTTGTATTGTTAGTAAATGACATAGTATGCAATTTTGTTTTCTGTATGGAAAGTTGTGATTGTTGATTCAATTTAAATCGAGCTAAACCTTCTCCCTTTTTTAAAAATGGCTTCTTTTTAATTTTATTCTTTAAATTAGTATTAAACTTTTCAAGATGATCATTTTCGCTGTCTTTTAATCTTTCTTCAAGCAATGTATGAAAATCTTTTTTAGGAGAGGAAATTGGTATATCATCAATAGAAATACGATTAACAATAATTTTATCAGATGGTAATGGTGCTATTCCATCTATACTGAATTGTTCTAATTGTTTTTCTGTTTTTATTTCATTTTTTATATTACACATTGTCTTATCTTTTGACTGTCTTCTTATCTGACTTTCAATATTAATTGTATCTTCAATGAACTTCTGTGTTGGTAATTTTTGTTGTGAAATTACATTTCTAAAACTATTATCTATATTTTCATTAAGACATGAATCAGTTTTATTTACTATTTGTATATAATTTTTTTTTAATTGTGGCTTGTCATGCAACATAATTAAATTTTCATTATTAATCTCAGTATTTTCAACAAATTCATTTGAATTATTTGTATCTAATATATCTTTATTAAGATCAAGTTCTTGTATTGATAATTCAAGTGCTTTATACATACAATCTTGTTTCTGAGTTAATATTTGCCTTTGTATCTGTTGTTGTTTTAATAATCGTTCTTGTTGCTCTAATTGCCACTGTCTTAATTTTTGTAAACGCTCAACTACAGATGCTTCTAAGTCCATGTTTTGAATGAGCATGGAATTTTAACACGTAAATATCATTCAAATATAAATATTTCAATAATTTATATACATACGAACACATATAAATACAAAAATATAAATTATTTCATGACATTTTTAAAAGTATAAGATTATTTTTATGCTTTTAAAAGTCTCATACAACATTATTAATTCTTTCTAATTTATTTAATATTTTTAAATTCATCTTAAGAAAAAATATTTTGCTTTTTGTTCAAAGTTATAATAAAGTAAAATAGTGAAAATTATTAAAAAAATTTCAATTACAATAAAAAAAAAATTAAACACATGTACATATGTACGTATATATATATATATATATCATCGGAAAAAAGGATTACTCAGTTAAAATACTTATATTTTCATATACCTTGAAACAAAAAAGAGTTACAAAAGTAATATAAAGTACATTATAAATTAAATCTGTTACATTCATTAATGTTTTTGAATAAAATATTTGCTTACAAAACCGGCTGACAGTTCAAAAGTAATGTATAAATGTGTAATGTGTGGGTACAACACAATTTAAATTTGTAACGTAAAAAGACAGTTACCTACACTGATTACTAGCATGTGATTGGTTATTCGTAGAAATATTTCCCTCATAATCAGAAAGGACCAATGATTCTTTATTACAAATGCTCAATTATTTCTCACTGTTTAAAATATTTAAAATATATCATGTATTATAATATGTACGTATATAAATAAGTATAAGTAAGTGCGTAAGATAGAAATAGGGAAGAGAAGAGAAAAGGAAAAAGAACTCTTTAAAATAATAAATAATTGAATAAAATTTGAGGCTATTTAAATAAATAAATTATTGCTAATAATTAAGATATATCTTTAATGTATCTTTAATAAATATAAAAACAATTACGACTACAATCTTTCGATAATAAAAAAGATTATTTTAAGTAACGAGTAAATATTTAAATATATACTTAAAAATTTATGCGTGACAATAATATTTACCGCTATTAATTTTTTAATATTTTATTATTGTTAAAATTTATATGAGTATAATCCAATATAACATAAATTATATTTATAAAACCATTACGAATTAATTTTATTTTTATAATAAAATTATATTCTGATATGTAATATATTTTTTAAATTATGATGCAATATATTTTAAAATTTTTAATTTTTTTATCATAGTAAAGTAATTTAATATCAAATCTTTTGTGAGCATAATTTTTATTAAAAATTACAATCATGGAAACGGTAAAACAATTAAAAAAAATTCCATTTTGTGTATTTTATGTAAGATTATTTTGTATATCGTACATTCACTTGGTGTAATACAATACCGTGAAATTTAACATATAGTTAAATTTACATCTATATTTTGATATTATAAAGTAAATGTAATAATTAAAACATTTTAATATAAGACAATTTAAATATAATAAAATTATAATAAAATGAGTCATAAGCATAAAAAAGATTGAAATGTTGAAACTGAATACAATTCGATATTTGTATACTGTTATATAACAAGCATGTATTTAATTGTCATTAATAAATACGTCAGAATATTAACAATTAAACAGCTTTTTTAAAACAAAACGTTTTAAAAATGATATTGGTTTATAAAATTTTCAGTCAGTAAGTTTACTGTAACATAGTCAACTCTAACTTTTTATCAACAAACAATCCAACATCTATTTTCTAGAATTTTGTTAGAATGATGATACAAATACACAGAATGTTCTGTACTATATAGATATATTGCAAAAGTGAGTTGAAATACAAAAATTGATCATATATTTATATAAATCTCTTTTTTTCATTTTTGTATTCTTAATTCAATTCTGCAATACTTCTCACACACAAAACGTGTGTGTGTGTGTGTGTGTGTGTGTGTGTGTGTGTGTGTGTGTGTAAAGTCGTAATACTTCATAAAAAAATACTTATATATTTACTGAAATATTTTAGTGTAAAATTAATGTAATTATTTTTTAATGATTCAATTAATGAAATAGTTAAATGATAATTTTTTCAACTAAATTTATGATAAATTCACGAATGATAGTCAACATTCAAATATTTTATGAACTAAATCTATGAGATAAAATATTCTCATTTTTAATTTATAAATTCATGCAAGAATATAATATTAAGCTCATGATATTAAGCATAAAGTGAAATTCTCTTCACTTAACGTAAAATGTGAAGAAATCTATACTACAATTATAAATGTATTTATTCAATTATTTTGTTAGTGCGCGTCGATATTTATCAATGTACTTTTTTATCAATTAATTAAACGCAAGAAGCAATATTAAATATAACTAAGAAATGTCCATTATATTGAAATATAATTTTCCTATGTAATTTAAAAATAATATATTTGTTTACGTGTTTAATTACGAAAAATAAAAATTAGTCTGTAAGTATACGACGGTATTTTCTATTAGGAGGGAACACTTCTTCGTCTTCATCCTTGTCAGCCGAAAGAAAAGGATCGTCATACGCGTAATTTGGTGCCCATTTTAATAATAGTTTTTCAAAAAACTCTTCTAAATTTCGTGCTTCTTGATACACTTGTGATTCAACCTAAATAAAATAAAGACATATGATTTTATAAGAATAGCATGCTTATTTTTATAAAAATTTATATTTTCTAATTCTTAAACAAAACTTACAGGATTATAAGTAAAAGCATTTTTGAACATCAATCTGATGTCTGCCATTACTTGTCTCAAATCTGTGTAATGGTCTGGATGCTCAAGTTTCAATTTATCTCTAATTACATCTAATGCAATTGGTTTTTTTATGATACGATGATAGTCAACTATCTATTAGTAATAAATAAAATAATGACTTTTATATTCTCAATATTTCCTATATATTTTTAAAATTTTTATAAATTTACCTCGCTAGATACTACTTCACGAAAAGGTAAGCTTTGCTCATATTGACAATAAAGTTCTAATACAATTCTTTGTGCAATTCGTAATTCTTTTGCACTCATTGCGTTTGGTCTTTTTTCACTTGGTGGATCATCTGAGCAATCTAGTACATTTGTACATAACATACATTGCCAAGTTTCACTTTCACTAGTGCGCAAAAAATTTTACATTAGCAATTAAACAATAAACAGTATATTATATTATTTATATACCTACTCAGGAAACGATTTTAAACTAGGAATATGACAATATAAGTGGAAGACTTTTGGGCATTTATCACAACATAATACTGCATCTCCTCCATCCATGCAAACTGCACACCAATCTTCATTAGGGTCATCCTTCGTCATGGATGCTGCAGTATTTTTTGAATTATCTATTGAATATAAATTATATAAATACACTTATTATAATTTATACGTATGATGCACAGTATTTTGAATAACAATTAACAGTTACCTGATGAATTCTCAGTCATTGGATTCAACCCTTCATCAGTTGAACTATCTACTTGGGCAGAATCTAATTGATTTCGTTGAGCTTCTGGTATTACTACAATTCCATTACTATCTAATTTTGCGATAGTAAGCATTAAATCATTCAAAGATTTTTGGCAAAATTTGTCTAAACTTTTTTCAGTTTCATCTGATTTTCCAGGAGGCACAGGACTAGGCGTTTTAGGTACTGACGAACTAACTGTATGACCAACAGACACTGAACTTTGCAATTGTGGTGGAGTATCAGAAGCAGTAGTCGTTTGCGTATTATATTTTTGATTTACATTTGATTGTTGATTTTTTAATGTAATTTTGTAAGTATCATTAGTAGGAACTGATATGGCAGGTGTATTCGATTGATGACGGGAAGTATAAAAAGGAAGACAAGGATTGACATTTTGGGGAATGTGCCAACGAGCTGTAGGTGGTTGCTGCATGGGATAATTTATATGTGGCGTAGATGGAGAAGTTGGATTGCATTGTTGAAGTCTTATACCAGATACCATGGATGTATTTGTTGGTTGATATGCAGGTGGTGGTACTGGTCGTTGAGGATTGTTCGAAGGATATCTATAAGGTGGTAATCGATACGACACATGATTCGTAGAAGATCGAAAAGGTGGCGGATTATGTGCAAGAAGTCCACGTAAACTTGTGTTTTGACCAAGTTGATCTATATGAACTTGTTGATGAGGATGCGTGGACGACGTTACTTGTTGAGGGCAACTTCCCAAAGGACGTTGTTGCATCATTATTGGTTGTTGCAATCTGTTGTTAAAATTAACTGGGTATGGTACACGCGGTTGATGTGCTTGTGGTGATGACCGAGGTGGCATGTTATTCATAGGATAATGTTGCATATAATTTTGCGACTGTGTTTGTTGCTGTTGCTGTGATGTTACATGAAGAGGCACTTGTTGATAGGAATTTTGTTGCATACTATTAGATTGTTGTGTTGCAACAGGTAATTGTGCAGCTATGGACGAACCATCCATATGTACATTTGACAAATTAGTTGTTTGCTTCTGATCTGTCTGTGTTTCATTATATGACATAGATGGTGTATTTACTCCACCCAATGGAGATATTGAAGGATATACTCTACCATCCACTACTATTGCTCCAATAGACGAAACCACTAAAATTAAAAGAGATCAAACATTTAATATTGTACGAATCGAATATTTATTAAATTACTAATTAATGAAAAAAATATATGAAATAGCTTTAACTAACAGCAATACCATAAACTACCTATTTAATAGCATATAATTAAGCACCTATTATTATTAATTTAACCTTTTATCAAATCTGGTACTTTCTCCAAGGAGAGATGTATTCTAACTGGTATTTCTGGATTTGGAATATCAGCCCGTCTACTTTTTATTCTTTGTAAATGACTTGTAACAGATCTGCAAGAAAATGATAGAATATTTACATTTATATTATATTTATATATAATATTTCAAATACATACTTTTTGCTATAAAGTAATTCCATATCTGAACCTTTTTTTAAGGCATGAGTTACAAATTGAATACAATGATCAGTAAGCTTTGATAATTGATCTAAAGCAACTTTTTTTTCATTTAATGTATTTTGCTTTTGATCACAAACTTCATTTAAGCGCATAACTAATTGTTTTCCTCTTGTATTAATTGCATTTGTTAATCTGTGTAAAAAGATATTATGTAATCTTTACATAAAAATTACATTCCAAATTTAAACTTGGAATATAAACTTCATAATAACTTACTGCACCACCATTTGTGTTATGTCTTGCACTAAATTTTTCTTTTTTTCTAAAATAAGAACTTGTCTATCTTCTATGACTTTCATTGCGCTTTTTAATAAAACTCGTTTATAACTGCAAAATAGGTTAACTTAAAGTGTAAACAGTACAAATTTAAGAAAAAATAAGTTTAATTTTCATAGAAAATACATTTAATGAAAAATACAAAAACAGAAGAGTTACCTCACTTCTTTAAGTAAAGTTGACACAGAAGCACGGGTTTCAGCAGCAATTTCATGAATAAATTTGTACTTATGATCTCTGTGTTCACTTAACTGACAATCTCTACAAGTAAGTTTATCACATGTTTGACAAAATAAAGATAATTGTTCATGTGAATGAATTGTACAAAATAAATAGCCAGGTATTTTTTTGTTATTCCTTTTAACATTATCCCTATCATTGGCAACTTCATCCTTTGGTTTAATTGTATGATCTTTTGTTATTTTTAATCTCTGATGTGCCTTTAGAAAAGAAAAATTCAAAATAATTGCTATTTCATTTCTAAAAAAATATATTTAATAAGCATATTACTAAACATTGTTTTCATTACCATAACACAGTTTTGACATATAAATTCTTCACATTCTACACACCAACTTGTAGCATTGGCATTATCATGACAGCTGGTACATTTTTTCTCTTCTTCTGTTTCTTTAGACTCATCATCAGTACCTGGACTATTATCTTCTTCTATAAATTTCGATAAAAATCGGTTTTCAATTAAATTCTCTGCTTGTGTAGTGACATTACATATTTGACAAGCAATCACATTACTTTCCACTGTAAAAATGTAAAGATATGGTGTATTATATGATATATCTATATATAAAATAATATTTTATGAATTATATTAATATAAAATTACTTAATGTATCATGAATATATTGTTGATTTAAATAAACATGAAAACATGTATTGTTACTTCTGTTGTTTAATAAGATGTTTTAACATTTACAAATATTTTTATACAGAAAGTTATTATACAGAAAGACAAACAAAAGTTGAACACTACTGTGATGTAAATTGATATTACTATTTTTTTTAATATTAATTTCAATTTTTAAATGAAATTAAATTCCAGATAGATTATGCATTGATAGATTAGATGCATTGAAAAATCAAGTTAATCTTTCTATAGTTTTTATCATTTATCTTTTCTATCCGTAAGAAAGTTAACAACACTAAACTTTTGTTTAATAAATCATTTCACAGAGAAGATATCCAAAATCATTAAACTAATTATCATTTACTGAAAAGAAAAATCTCACAAATTTAATAAAATTATAAAATATAGACATATAGTAAGTCCTTACACAAAACATCCACATCGACCGACGTGTTGTGATCATTGAGTTTACTATTAACACATGTCGAACATGCTGCATGTAAACATTCTAAAAGTTTCGGATCATCGCCGAAAGCAAATGTTTTTCCACAGAATACACATTTCGATAAAAATGCTCGTGTTTCATTTTCTTGGCCTTCGGTTGTACACTCGATACGTTGTTCACATTCTTCCTCAATGCAAACGCCCTGCACTTGAGATTGTTGCATATCTTGCTTCGCGCCAGTTTGATCAAGTGGCTCTTCTTTAATCGTCGCTATAGGACCTGTTGTTAGTAGCTCGTTCGTTCGGGTTTCCATATTAAAATTATAGTAAGTATGAAACTGGCTACGCAAAAGAATCGTTTTTATATATTATGAAAATATATCGTTCTCAAATCACGTAGCGCCATGATTCACCATGCTACATCTATTCTGATTACAGTTGCTGTAGTTAGGTAAGGAACTCGATGGCGGGCTTTCCTGCACAGTAACGCCCTCTGAAATAGACATTTTAGTAATTTTCTAGACATTTTAGTAATTTTGACGATAATTAAATCAAATATCTTTTTAATATTATTAATTAAATTAATAAAAATTTTTAATATAATAAATTATGTTGCATAATATTTTTTCTCCATATTTGAAAGATAAAATATGTATTTATATATTTTACCTAGTGCAATTTATAGGGAATATTAATTTTTATAGGTTTCATAGATGTTAATAAATAAATACATATATTTATTATTCAAAAATTTTATACACAGATATTGTATCGTGTACAAAAAGGGTTAGGAGTTGTATTTTACATTTTTACAACATGCGTTCAGATAAGGGACATTTAGGTACTTTTTCTTAAATAAAAAGATGTTTGCTTTTTTTATATATTCTGTTAATATAAAGTAAATATTTATTTCATACTGTTATTCTCTAATGTTATTTGCACATTACACAACTATTGCACAATAATTAATGTACAACTTACTCATATTGGATATTTTTCTTTATTTTTAACGAAATATATGTAATATTTAGGTAATTTTACTCTTGACAATGAAAAGAATGAAGAAAGTGATGAAAGTGATGATAATATACAAACATCATCAGATGACAGCAGTTTGAGCAGTAGTGATGATACAGACATTAATGAAGAACTTCTTGATTCAAATAATACTCATACGAGTAAATTTTATATAATTTGATATCTTTAATTTTAATTTAATTAACTCAATTAACAAATATCTAATGATACTATTAATGTTTTTTATTATTTATGCAATGTTATAAATAAATAATATTAATATTTGTTTTTAAAGGTGGTAGTACAGAACCAACTTTATTAAATTCAGATGAGGAGGAAGATGAAGTTGTAAAAGCAATAATTAGATCAAAAAATGTAAATACAAATCATCCTCCAGCTATTACAACAGAAGATCATGTGGTAGATATATGTTTTCATCCTAATTCAAATATGATCGCTGTAGCTAATATTGTTGGAGATATACATTTGTAAATATTACATTTATTAACATCATTTATTATTACATTATTGACATGTGAACATAAAATAATTTTGAATAGCTTCATAAATATATTTCTTTGATAGATACAAATACAACAATACAGAAACAGAGCTGATGTCAACTTTAGAATTGCATCTGAAAGCATGTCGTGACATAGAATTTAATGACACCGGCACAACTTTATTTTCAACTGCTAAGGATTTATGTATAATGCTTACTGATGTACAAACTGAAAAGTTAATAAGACTTTATGAAGATGCGCACGAGTATGTATATAATTATTATATTTGAAATAAATAAGAAGTAGAAGTATCAGTAATTAATATTTGATCTATTTAGGGAACCAGTATATACGATGACAGTAATTGGAAAACATATGTTTGCAACTGGAGATGATAATGGTGTAGTGAAAGGTATGTTATATTTGTATGATTTTTTGTTCTTTTTCATTTTATTAAATCCATTATACTTATATTTAAGTATGGGATCTTCGAGATTCAAAAAATCTGCCTATATTTACATTAAAAAAAATGGAAGAGTATGTGAGTGCTATAATAACAAACAGAGAAGCAAAATATTTAGTTTGTGCAAGTGGAGATGGATGTCTTACAACATTTAATATGCCAGGAAAGAAACTGCATGTCCAAGTAAGTGCAAATAAATTTAATAGATTATATTATCTAATTATAATTTTTATTAGTCAGAAGAATATGAAGAAGAACTGACATGTCTTGGTTTATTTAAATCTGAAACAAAACTTTTGGTGGGTACAAGTAAAGGAAAACTGTATGTATATAATTGGGGAGAATTTGGTTTACATTCAGATGAATTTCCGAATTTAACTAAAAAAGCTATGAACTGTATGATTCCAATTACTGAAAATGTTGTAATAACAGGTGGAGAAGATGGAATACTTAGGTATAGTTTAAGATTTATTGTATAATTTTTTTCGTATATTAATTCAAATAATATATGTATTTGTTATATTAATTTATAGGGCTAGCAGTTTGTTTCCTCATAATCATCTTGGAATAGTAGGACAACATGATCTTTCTATTGAAGCACTTGACGTTAATAGCGATGGTTCTTTAATTGCATCTTCTTCACATGATAACGATATCAAGTTTTGGAATGTACAGTACTTTGAAACTTTAGATGTTAATGAACGTGTGAAAGGTGGGAAGCAGAAACAATTAAAACGTAATCTTCCAAGTAGTAAAATTGATAATGTATCTAGCTTTTTTTCGGATCTTCAATAAAAAAGATAATAAATTATTATGAATGTATATTATAAATTTACAAATAATGAAATTATGCTCCATCTATAATGCTGAGATAATATATTTTCATATACAAATATGCTTATTGGATGGATAACATATGCATACATATCATATATGTATAATAAAAAATTGAACACAGTTATACATATACTTTTTAAAGATAAGAATAATCAAGTATATATTTTAATGAATTACATATGAAGATTTCCAACTACATCTATCATTTTATTACATTTAATAAAATTTAGAAGTTCAATAAGGATTAAACAAATTTTGTGCAACTTAAAAATATACTTCAAATGTACACCTACATTACTTCAAAAACATTAACAAAATATTTTTGATGTTACTTTTTAATATTTTTAATGTTGCGAAATAAGTATTATACAAGAAAATAAATCTTAATGATCGCTTATTCTTACATGTTTATTGCAACATAAAAATATTTTTCTAAATTAATTATAAATAATAAATATTTTGTTACTGTCTATTATAATTAGATACTATAATAACAGTATACAAAAATTATTTCTTAATTTGATTCTTTAATTCTGTATTTTATTTAAAAATATTATTTGCAAATGGAGAGCTTTTTCTTCAATAATAAGATTCTATTAAATAATATGTTTATAAAAAGAAATGAAAAATATTCATAATATATTCAATGTTGATTACATATTTCACTTCTTATAATTTACATTTAATTTAAAAAAAAATCTGTTTAATATAAATATATAAAATGTATTATAATGCAAAAATGCACATTTTTTGTCACATTATGATAAATAATACTGACACTAAATAATTCAAAAATTTAAAATTGAATACAAATTAAATATCTTGCAAATATTAAATACTTTCGTATACATTTCAAAAATTACTAATAAGAATTTTATTTTACATAAGAAATAAGATGAAATACGAATATTCTTAATGATTAAACATATTAAATATTAGCAATGTATTATGCATAAACGAAAATATTATATCTATTATTATAAATTATATGTCAGAACTTATATTTTTCTATAGAAAAACAAAAAAAGATTAAATAATTTTAATGAGAACATAATACATTAATTAAAAATTTTTAGATAAATGCTCCAAAATCTTATTATAAGTTATTTAAAAAATGAGACTCAGCCTTCATTATACTGAATTATAAATATTTTTGTTTATAATACGTATATAACTTCACTGATGATTCATTTGACGCAAATATTCCGGTGTATGATAATGTTGCTGTTGCGCATGAGCAAGTGAGGGATGAATTGGAGGTGGAAAGCATCGAACATGTTCAACGCTTGTTGCATCACTATCTCCGCTCTTCAAATACTTATTTAATACAGCAAAAATTTGTGAATTTAGCACCTGGAATCTTCT